GTCGGTCCGTAACAATCCGTGTCTCTCCAGGGGCTTTTGGTGGTAAATCCGTCGGACTCCGTACTCATACCGTTGTGTGTCCGTACTGGAACCGTAGCGGACTACGGAAGTTTACATTTCCGTAGTAATCCGTGAACGATTAGACCGTAGCTCTTCCGTGGCATTATCCGTGAATATGTGACCGGGGCATTACATCAAAACCAGCGTTTTTCCTCCAAATTCGATTATTTAAACAACATTTTGCAAGGAACATATATTTCCAACTTACTCCTAACTTCTTGTTTGTTTATATATTCATACTACGTTTAGACAGTCATTTATATATTCGAACAAACAAATTAAATGAAATAATAATCACACATAACAGATGTCCATGAATTTCACAATTCGTTTTATAATCAAAAGAATATACCTAATTGTTTCAAATGAAAATCAAAACAAAACAATATTTTGAATGTCGTCCGTATTCCTCCCTAAAATTTTAACATTTTATAGCCAAATATTAATTGCTCAACATATAAAATCGAATTTTGCGCAACGTACTCTCAAAATGTTCTTTTATTTTTTGAATAATCCAGTTTACATCAAACTGTAGGCATAATGATACTTTGCGAAACAGGATTTTTTGGCAGATTACTTATTTCAACATGTTGAAAAGCTTTACACCTAGCTACCGTTGATATTATTATGATTTTTAAAACACGGTTTTATATTCTCAGAAATGCCTTGACTTTCTATTTCTGACAGGTACGACTAGGATCACTCTTGTTAAATCATTTTAAGGAGTTTCCAGAATATTGTTGTTAAGTGTTAAAAGGTAGGTAGTTTTCACTCTTACAAGTTTAGTTCCACTTATTTTTAAATAATTTGAACTCTTGCCAGTGTATACATAAGGTAACTTGTTATTTTTCTTTTCACACAACTTAAAAAAGTTTATCATTGAATAAAGCTATCTAAAGTCAAAAGATACATATAAATCCAGTTCCTTTTTATATATTGCCATTTACATGTATATCAGATGGATTTGGATAAATCAGTTTAGGGTCTTGACAGTAGCTTAGTGTAACAAACACTCAAAAGCACGCCCATGAAAATGCAACATGAATGTGGGATAAGTGTTGACACCAAGTTTAATTTAAATCTTTATTAAATGGAAAGGCTTGCCCAGTTGTGCCATCATCCCATCCCTTTACTGGGTTATGGAACAGAATTGATGCATTTATTCTATCTTGCTTGATGGCATTGGAACTTGCATTATGCTTGATTCCATCTTGCTTTATGATATTCTAACTTTGCATTATGCTAGATTCCATTATGCATTATTTCATTCAAACTAATTCTTTCATTGAGTGATAACTATTGAAGTTGCACAAGTTAACGTCATATACCTTAATAAAATGCATCAGTTACCTTTCTTCATGCTAAATACAAACTATTTACGGTTTAGTTCGTTTTGGTATTGGTAAAGTATTTGGTATTGGTATAAAGTAGAAGTCATTCAAAATCGAATTATTCCCTTCTTCCTTTTGTACACCTAAAATTACACGATGGATTTTGTTAAAGTGTGACTTATATGATTTATTGCTCGCATGTCGTGATTACTGTTAGCTTTCGCTTATTTTCATTATCCAGTGTTTATGCTAAATAAAAGTCGATGTTTGATGCTTTGTGGATCATGTTTGGTCATATGAAATTGTATATAAACAATTTAAACAATGTCTAGCGATTGTGAACTGTTAAGGGGCGAGAAGTCTATTATCGTATCAACGGAATTTTTCCTTATTACGTCTATCATCGGAATTTTCCTTACATAAACTGCGGTGAGTAAACAACAGTATTCTTTTACATATATATAAATACGTACCAAGCACAAAATATATAAATTGCCCAGGAAAGAATATAAATATAAGCAGAAAAAGATTATGCAATATAATTTTATATATGTATACTGTTAAATAGAAAAAATATATTCGTGAACAGTTATTTCATGGGACAGTTAACAGTGGTGGATTCAGGGCCTGGCGAAAGGGCTGCACCCGTTCCCAGCTCAGCCCAAGATACGTTCATGAGCTGGGATGGAATATATAGGTGTCAGTTTCATGTCATAGTGTACTCCCTTATCAAAACATTTAATGCTATCATCCAGTTGTTAAGCACCTGCATAGGTGCTGCAAGCCATTTATCTATAGCTGCAAAGGTCTTTATCTAATGACTTGGACATTAAAAAGGCAAATTTCATTGGCCTGTTAACTTTCCAAATGTCTCAGAGTCGCTAATAGTGGCAAATAGGTGTGTAACGCAGTACAATATATAATACGGAAGGAATAAAGGAAGGAAGGAAGGAAGGAAGGAAGGAAGGACGGAGGGAGGGAAGTTGTTTATTATTGTGACATGTGCATAGCCAATTACAAATAATGATCATATATGTGTACGAATATAGTACACGGCCCAATGGGCCTGTAAGTCACCAATTTACTGTGTGACAGATACCCCCCACACACCACTACATTCACATACATTTATGCTTAAAGTTACATTTAATAAATTTCCAAAAAACTAAATAGCGACATTTCATTAATAAATTGGGTTTTATATCGACTCCAGGTCTTATTTTGGTGTCCAAACAACCAAAATGAGTTTTATTAGCATAAAAATAGGTAACCTCATTGTGGCGAAATGGGAAACACAATTTCTGTTTGCATGAGAAACTCCGCCTTCGGATCATCCGTACATCAATATTAAATCAACAAACATGACTATAAGTGGCAGTCCTAATTTAACGGTTTATTTCCGCATTGTAACGGATGTTTTCATACAAATTTAATCTCTTTACGAGATTATTACTTTTACTGAACCCAAGGTTTAGTGCACCGTGAAGCTTAAACGGTTAAAGTGTGTTTGCACAAGAAAATATCATATTTGCTGTGTTCCAGATAGCAACTATAAAAAAACTGTGACGTAGCGCATACACGAGCTCATTATAGTCTTCATTTGCATGTTAAAATTCGTATACGAACTTTAGTGGTACCGTGGGGTTTCCCGTTTAAAATCCTAATTTATGAACAATATTTGATGAGATTTACAACAATACTATTTAACAGGTTAATGAAACTGTAGAATGTTTGATTTTTAAGCCGACGGCAAAATATTTTTACATATTTATTTTATGTAACTTTAAAGATATAATATGCGCATTTTCAGTAATATATTTTATTACAGAAAATTATTATAATCTATAAAATTCCTACTGAATATGTCATATTTAACCCATTACTTCATGAGCATTTTGTGAAAAATGGCTGTTTTCATTGAAAAGTCTCCCGTTACAAGTTCAAATTGCTATAATACTATAAAAACTGCTTCAACACTAATCAAACTTGGCACAAATGTTGACTGGACCATTGCCCTTGCAACAACATGCTCAGACTTAAATTTTCTGTTACCATGGCAACGAGGGGACATCTCAAAATTGCCAAAAATCACTATTTTGCGTTGATTTTTCCATCAAAATTGATTTCAAAGTGCTGCAACTTCTCAATGGATTGAGACAGAGTCAAATGCTTTTCAGCGTTGGTTACACGTTACCTTATGATCAATCTGGGGTCATTTACAGCCTCTCACAAGTCCAAAATTTTCTTGGCGATGAGGGGGACTCCGCCCCCCTTCAACCCCCCCCCCAACAGAAGGGGGCATATCCCCCTTCTGGCAACCCCCTTATGTATCTTTTGGTTGGGGGCCGCGCCGAAAAAGAGGTCACTTTTTTCAACAACATTTCTCAAACAAAAATTAACAAGTGTTTGGGGGCTAAATAAGGCATTTTTTCATCATTTGAGACAACAAAAAAGGGGGGGGGGGTGAAAAAGGCGTTAAAAGGCGTTATATGAAGTAATGGGTTAAATAAAAACACATGCAATGTGTGGGAATCTGTGTTCCTTATAACGTGTCAATAAAGTAAATTTAAGTTGTGCCTTTCTTAAAAAACTGCCATATTCTTTCAATAACACTATACATTCATTATAGTGTATAGGATTTAAAGCAAAACATTTGTGTGAAGCCAAATGATATTTATTTTATATTACAAAAAGACTGAGACGCAATTATCAATATTTTCAAATATCAAGTTTGAGCATAGTATATATTTAAATTCAATTTCACTATTGCACATACGACTAAGGCACACGCTCAAAAAGTAGTACATATATAAACAAAGTATAGGTGATTTGCCACTTACATATCAGCCCCTAGCAGCAAATTAAAGGTATTGACAGGGACTTTTTACATCTAGCTATATCAAGAGCAAGCTAAGAATGTCCTTTAAAACACCGAACATAATACGCTGTCCTTAAAAAGATGCAATTAAATATATAGCATATTAAAATATGTGAGTTAGATGGTTCAGAAAGGAACACGTGAAGTTGCAATTACATGATAGTGCATTCAGTAACATAATGCATGCTAGTATTCAGCGAAATGTAGGTTTCACTGGTCTTTACTTCTAAAGAAGTAAAGAAGCAAGCATAATGTAAGTCCAAATATCATGAAGCAAGAGGGAATAAATGCACTATTCTGTTCCATACTATTCCTTTTCCGCACCTTTTTACTTTATCACTTGTCGCTGGTTCAGAAATCATGGTTTTGTATTACTGTTTTATTTAGTAGTTGGTCACTTGCGGAGAAATTGGTAAAATTACCATGTTACATTAGCAATAAAGTAAAGCTAGTAAGCTCGACTGGCTACCAATTATAAGATATATGACCAAAATGTATTAACATCAGCGTGTTATAGAGCTCTACTGCATACTGTACTGTATACCACTTAAAAATATACGTGTCCAATGAAATAAAGAAATATGTATATACTTTCAAAAGAACAGAATTATTTTCATACATATATTTTTAATGGATAAATGAATTTTTAAGTCAGCATAGAATAATGCAACGTTAGTCAAGCCACAGGGTGTAGTACTTCTTTGCGTTACTTATTTTCTTTTCTTTATATACGGATCATGTCGCTACTTTCTGTGGTCCAGTCTACGTTAACTTCCTTTACTTCCGGAACGTGGCCGTGGTAAGTTGAGAAATTCTGTCTCTTGAGAAATTTTAGAAATAAGTCATTATTCAATGAAATTATTTAACTCCCTTTGTTTTGTATTAAATATCGATATATCTTTTGCAGATTCAAGCAGTCCCTAACTTACAACAATGGCACCAGCAAAGAAAACAGTAAGTTTTGTCTTCAATCTTCATGATCTCGGACGCACGTGGCACGTGCTTAGAAATTATCAGTAATTGTGTGGGTCTACTGCAAATAATGAGGAAATAAATAGTTTTGATAATAATTTAAAACATAATATGAAATTAGGCAAAGCCTATGAATGGGGAAGTCGTTAAAAAATTCCTTTCTTTCTTTCCGTTTTAAAATTGTCATTCGGTATTTCATGCACTGCTTCCGTTTTCACTCGGAACACTCGACGTTTATTATTTATCCGAAAAGTTGAGATTTGTTCCGTTATCGGAATACCCTGTCTTTTATCATTGAGTTACATTGTAAATGGCGGCGCCATTCTAGAACTGACACTGCAAATTTCTTTGATAGGTATAGAATTCTATATATTTTTTAATTGTTTTTTATTTGATTTTCTTTAAATATACACATGTATTCTACAGCCGGGCAAGCCAAAGCCCGGACCCGCTTCGCGGCAACGTCATATCGAAATTGCTCAAAAACCCATGGCATGTTCCGCCCGAATGAAAAACAATGAAGACAGCGTGTATTTACATAAGTTTTGATCTATTAATGAACAAAACTAAAAAATAAATACCTTTTGTCAAAATAATTAAACTGTCACATTCGAAAAATCATGATTTAATCCTCTCGTGTAATTCAATTCTTTTTACAGCCGATAAACGAATGGCGGCCATAAAGTGCGTGAAATCTGATTGGCTAATTCAAATGCAAGCGTTTAACTGAGTCAGAACAATCTAACAGAATATTTTTTTAACGAAATAATTGCCCATGCACCGTCAAGTGTGTTCGAATATATTTTTCCGTTCAAAAATTTGGACTCGATCTGTAAAGCACCTTGCTTAACCAGTATGGCTGATAGACAAAAATAGATTGATGTTTATATTTTATTTTCAATTGATAAGTACATTGTTTGAGAGTTTTTGTGTATGAATGAGCATAAAATTGAAAGAAAAGAAGATAAGCTTTTGAATAAAGCTTGAAAGGCAAGACATTTTTTGATTTTTTTATGATGCTATGCGTTTTTGAGCAATACCTATTAGACGTCAGGCTTGACCGACATAAACTATAACAAGCCTGTAACGTCTAATATATTGGACTACCCTAGACAGTGTAGATACATGTACATGGCTGTGTAGGTCACGCATAAAAACAACTTAATTCAGCAATTAAACCATGCTAATTTCTATTTTAAAGTTAAGATCATTATAAAATATATATTTGAAAAGAAATGTATGTTTTTGTTATGCAGGGTTCGAATTTAGCAATATTTACTACTAGCTAAAATTAGCTTGTGCATTTTATGCTTACTAGCTAAAATGAAAAGTGACTAGCTGAAATTGAGAACGCATTTTTTTTAAAATATGATGTACAAATCATATCAAGTTCTCGGGCCATATGGAGTTGTAGTTGGCCTCTTCTTTCTCTGACCATTGCATTGGATAAGGTGGTTGTTATAAAATGAAAACAGTCATAAGCTTTTGAAAAAAACTGACCTCATTATGAGAGAATTATGCCATGGATCATGTAATGTTGAAATAGAATGTCTATGCTAGTGATAGCCTTCTTAAATAAATATGGCCTTACCCCTCTAGCCTAGGCAGTTTCTACAACCTAACAAAAAAATGGCGATACCCCTCCCTAGCCTAGGCAGTTTTTATAGCACCCCACCCACTCCCAAGACCATATAAAAGATTGGACATTACAAGACAAACATGATGGACAGAAAGTGGCAAGACCAAATTTTCTTTCCATTCTGGTTAATAAATAGACAGAAAATCTAATTAAATATAAATTCCTTAGTCTAGATACTCTGTCTGCAGGTGCAAACATTTTACATGTTTTGCAGGCCATTTGAGTCACGGTTGATGAATCACTCATAACAATATCCAGGTGAACATTAAGTTCTTACAGTTTTCAAGCTTGCAGTTACTGCCTTCTCAGACGTTTCCTTGATATTAAGATGCAATAGAATCTCCATCAGATGTGTCCGCCGGCCGTTTCGTCATTGGAAAATTCATTATAGACTTTGAGACATTTTGACCTTGTTTATTTCACTTGATAAAGTCAAGCATAACGGACCGCCTATAAGACTGAAAAACTGTTTGGAAAAGGCGTAAAATGAAACAAACAAAGGGAATCGGATTTTCCAGTACATGTCTATTTATAAAGACCAATCAGACACGGTTACAAAATTATCTACCAATCGTAGTCGCGGGTACCGATTGACGTCATTTTTTTCACGCACATGTCCAAAGAATGGGCCACCCCCCTAAAAATCGGATTTCCGCAATTGAATTTATAGTGAAAATGCGCAAGACTGTCTTTATTTCGCGGCGTTATAAGTTTTGTTTCAAATTTTACACACACATTTATTGAAAAGAAGACTTTTTTATATTTCGGTCCTTTTTTATTCACTCGCTAATAAATGAGAGTGTCTTATTGTTACTCGCTATTCAGAATTTCTACAAGCTATTAGCGTGTTTGCGTGCCTAAATTCGAACCCTGTGTTATGGCAAATTTGCTGTTAGTTATGAAATATATGCACATAAATTAACTTCTCCCAACTACCAAAACGTCAGTTATGAAATATATGCACATGAATTAACTTCTCCCAACTACCAAACGTTAAGTCATTTCACATTGATTCTTTTGTTTAAAATGATACCAAACTCTTAATAGAACAAATCATAACTAAACAGATGAAAAAAACTTTATTGATAATGTTTTATGTCTGTCTTAACTACCTACAAGTGGTTAAAAGTATATTTCAATTGCTGTTACATGTTTCCTGTGTGCTACTATGCTTGGAAATAAATGTTTGTATACTGTAGTAAGAATGTGCATTAAATTTATTTGAAGTCCTGAAAAATTGCAAAAAAATATAACTTATCTGGACTTAGAGATGTTAAATAATTTATAAAACATGTTTAAGATGTAAAATAACCTTTCAGTATAAAAATGGCCTTGTGTGCGGAACCTAGTCCACTATTTATCATATTTGGCCCATTCCTGTTGCTTAAAATCAAATGCGCCTAGAAGTATGACCTACTTAAGATAGAAAAATTTTGATCATCTGTTTTTATGGGCAAAGGATGTAATTTTCAAAATAATATCAATTATAAGAAGAATTTTTAACGATAAGATAATTTTCTTATTTTTACTTAAAAAAGTATACGACTCCGGGTACACTGACTCTAAACATAATTTGATAATTTATTATTAAAAAATGCTTTGATGTAGATCTAAAATATCAGCAATTGTAAAAAAGTTAATTTTTAATTGTGTATCGAAATGGCTAAACCAGTTTGTTGAAATTGATTTTCCACACACAAAATTGGATAAAATTTGTAGCAAGTGCAAAAGGCATTGCATTCCATGTGTGTATTTATAGTATAGAGGGGTATATTTGCCATTATTTCTTAATTATATGGGTATATTTTTCAATTATTGATAGAATGTAAAGCTCCTGTGTAAAAAAAAAACTTACTTAGTTTTATTACATTGATGCAAAAGGATTTTAAGATTAATTGTCCCTATCCATTAATATTGGCCTGCAATGGTAGTTAATAAGTTCTTTTTTATTTTTAGAAAAAGAGTATTGAGAATATCAATTCTCGACTTGCCCTTGTGATGAAGAGTGGCAAATACTGTCTTGGATACAAGCAAACACTCAAAACCTTGAGACAAGGAAAAGCTAAACTTGTTATCATTGCAAGCAACACACCACCACTTAGGTAAGCATACTAAATGGATAGGGTGCCTTTGCAAATAGTGATTATATAAAGTTCTTTCTCTTAAAAAAAGGTATCCTAACTTTTTATTGTATCATTAATATAAAGGAATTTTACAAAGTTTTGGTGGTGCGATAAAGCGAAATTGAGAGTACATTTTCTGTGCACACCTTAAGTTCATCCAATGAATTAAAGTTCTATATACTTGAGAGATACATTCTATAATATAAATTATAAGATTATTTCCAGTATTGTTTCACCAAAATTTTTAAATAATTTAAATGTACTGACTTCGGAGCCCAGATATTTTTTTGGGTGAAGATGGAGTCTTTTCTTTACTTATGCATTTGCTTTCTGACTGAAGCAGACAAGGGATGTTAAAAGAGAAGGTAAAACTGCTCATGTGCAGGTGCTATATTTGACTAGTCCCTTGATGTACCTATAGTAATGGTAATTAAGAATTTGTTTGAATAGTTAGATATTTTGGAATCGTTATTAGAGAGTAATTGGGTGAATTATATAGTAAATGATATTGTCATATTGGTATGAAGGTAAGATTAGGACACTGCTGTTGTCAAGTATTTGAGTTTTGCCCTCCAGATTTCATAGGGGATACATTAATACAAGTGGGTGAAAGAATAACTATGATGAATTGTACAATCACCATCTTTCGACTGAGAGTTTAAGATGATAATTCTGTGACTGATGTTATTCTACACCAATATTGAATAGAACAGAAGCTGTAGACTTATATTGTATTAAGATTAGTTCTTAAAAGCTAAGATTTGTTGATTTTGTTAGAAATTGGGTGTAGATTAAAATATAAGTTATATATTTAATTTTTTGTGATTTAGCAAATAATAATTGTAAATAGCAAAGCATGTACTTTTTTTTAATAATTCATTGACTCCTGACCTTTTCTTGTAAACCACATGTCATGTCTTGATAAAATTTTGTTAATATTTTATAACAAAAAAAGAAATGTATAAAAGTTAATTCATTCATGAAATAAATAACAACAGTTTCCCAGTAAAAAAAATAATCCTACATGATCAGAGTAATATGTTGTATTATTGTTGGCAGGAAAAGTGAGATTGAATACTATGCTATGTTAGCGAAGACTGGTGTCCATCATTACACTGGCAACAACATAGAGCTGGGTACCGCTTGTGGTAAATACTTCCGTGTGTGCACACTTAGCATCACAGACCCAGGTATAGTAGAAATATTAATATTCAAGCACTATTCAAAATATTGTTGGTTTTTAGCTCGACTATTCGAAGAATATGAGAGCTATTGTAGTCGCGTCATTGTTGGTTAAAGTTTTTTGTAAAGTCAAATATCTCAATTATTACTTTAGATATTCAATTGAAACTTACAATACTTATTCATAGTAACAAGGTACATCTGATTGACAAGTTTGATAACTCTGCCTACAATATTGACAGAATTATGCCCCTTTTTAACGTAGAAATTTTGGTTAAAGTTTTTTGTAAAGTCAAATATCTCAATTATTGCTTGAGATATTCAATTGAAACTTACAATACTTATTTATAGTAACAAAGTACATCAGATTATCTCAATTATTGCTTGAGATATTCAATTGAAACTTACAATACTTATTTATAGTAACAAAGTACATCAGATTGACAAGTTTGATAACTCTGCCTACAATATTGACAGAATTATGCCCCTTTTTAACTTAGAAATTTGGGTTAAAGTTTTTTGTAAAGTCAAATATCTCAATTATTAGTCCCCTACCGGTTTAACCGGAGGGGACTTTAGGTTTACCCTCCGTCCGTCTGTCTGTCTGTCCGTCCGTCCGTCCGTCCACAAAACTGGATCCCGCGATAACGCAAAAAGTACTGAAAATATTTTTATGAAACTTGATATATGGATAGATGGCAGTATGGAGATTATGCACGTCTTTTTTTTTTCTTCCTATGTTGAAAATTCTGGTTGCTAATATTGACAGAATTATGCCCCTTTTTAACTTAGAAATTTGGTTAAAGTTTTTTGTAAAGTCAAATATCTCAATTATTGCTTGAGATATTCAATTGAAACTTACAATACTTATTTATAGTAACAAGGTACATCAGATTGACAAGTTGGATAACTCTGCCTACAATATTGACAGAATTATGCCCCTTTGGAACTTAGAAATTTTGGTTAAAGTTTTTTTGTAAAGTCAAATATCTCAATTATTGCTTGAGATATTCAATTGAAATTTAAAATACTTTTTTATAGTAACAATGTACATCAGTTTGCAAAATTGCATAACTCTGCCTGCAATATTTGCAGAATTATTTGCCCCTTTGAAACTTAGAAATTTTGGTTAAAGGTCTTCAAAGATATTTACTTGAAACTTTACACATGCACTTAGGGTCATAATTGGAGGGTCATAATTGTATGTCACTGACCAAGTTCCATAACTCTATCTTGCATTAAGGCTGATTCATATCCCCTTTTCTACTTAGTCTCTTGGTTAATGTTTACATGCAAGTTTTACATATCTCAATAACTATTAAAGATATTTATTTAAAACTTCACATATGCATTTAGGATCATAATTGTAGGTCACTGACAAAGTTCCATAATTCTATCTTGCATTTAGACTGATTTTTCTCCCCTTTTTCAACTTAGAAATTCATGGTAAAGTTTTGCTTGTAAGCTGTTATCTCAATAACTACTGAAGGGTTTGTGCCTTTTTTGGGACAATTTTATGCATTCATAATAGCGAGCTCGACGAGCTGGCCCAAAGGGCCTGCTCGCAAAGCGAGCTTTACGGTAACGCGAGTACCTGCTAAGTGATGGTTTTGAAAACTTTCGTCCAAAGTACCGAATTGGACACATCGCAACCTTTCGAATTTAAAGGTAACGATAAAAACTGAGGAATTCTGACTGAAAACGGATGTGTAGACTGGTCACCCGCGCACGTCTATGGGAACCATAATTGGACAGGGAACCAGAATAACGGAAGCTGTGTATAAAAAATGAAAATCGAAGGCGCCATTTTGTTTGAAATCTGATAAATAAAAACAATTTTTTGACGAATTTTGTTGTGAAAACTATCTAGAATGAAAGAAAATGGTCTAACTAAGAAAATGAATCCGAACACCAATATCTTTTATTCAGTCGTTAACGCTGTACAGACGCTTAAAGTATTGTTTACGTGACATCACAATGTAGCGCCAAACAGCGCGTGCAAAACAAACAAATCAAGTACGCTATTTTAATGTCGCAAACGTTTTAAGTTTTACATTTATTTTACTTTAAAAAATCTTTATTTCGCTTGAAAAATTATAGAGTGAAATAAAATAAACATAGTTTTATAAACGTTTTCAAAACTCGTTATTCATTTCACTACAGGGGCGGAGTCATATTTAACACAGTACGTGTGACGTCACACGCACTCGTCACTGCATTTAAATAAAAATGAGCGATTATTTCATACTATTTCACGTAAAAAGTACATCGAGCTCGCTTTGAGGCTTTGCCTTTTTCATATTAATAAAGCAGTGATTTACTTGATAAAACATCTTAATAACAAGCCTTTGTACCTTTTCTGTCAAATTTATGTATTGATAGGTAATTAGTACTATTATACTCAATAAAACACCCTTGTGACATTATCTTCCGAATAGTCAAGCCAATACTGTATAATTAGACTCTCTCTAAGGCCTATAACATGAATTTATAAAAAAAAATAGCCCTTTTGTGAACTTAAAAAATTTAAAATTATCAATGCTCTTTTACTATCAAGCACTTAGAATAGTCGAGCGTGCTGTCCTACCGACAGCTCTTGTTATTCAGGTAATAGTACTATAGGATTGACCAGTTTGCAGATTTTGTTGACATTCTTTCTTCAGTTGGCTTATGGACTTGTGGTTTTTAGCTCACCTGTCACAAAGTGACAGGGTGAGCTTTTGTGATCGCTTTTCGTCCGGCGTCCGTCCGTAAACTTTTGCTTTAAATGACATCTCCTCATAAACCACTGAGCCAATTTCATCCAAACTTCACAGGAATGTTCCTTTGGTGGTCACCTTTAAAAATTGTTCAAAGAATTTAATTCCATGCAGAACTCTGGTTGCCATGGCAACCGAAAGAAAAATCTTTAAATATCTTCTTTTAAACAACCCTAAGAGCTAGAGCTTAGATATTTGGCATGAAACATCTTCTAATGAGTGTCTACCAAGTTTCTTCAAATTAAAGCCCTGGGGTCAAAATTGGCCCCGCCCCAGGGGTTTATTGATTTTCCCTATATGCATATAGTAAAAACTTAAAAAAATCTTCTTTTAAAGAACTGTAAGAGCTAGAGCTTAGATATTTGGCATGAAACATCTTATAGTGAATGTCTACCAAGTTTGTTCAAATAAAAGCCCTGGGGTCAAAATTGGCCCCACCCTGGGGGGTCATTGATATATAGTAAAAACTTAAAAAATCTTCTTTTAAAGAACTGTAAGAGCTAGAGCTTAGATATTTGGCATGAAACATCTTCTAGTGAATGTCTACCAAGTTTGTTCAAATAAAAGCCCTGGGGTCAAAATTGGCCCCGCCCCAGGGGGTCATTGATTTTCCCTATATGCATATAGTAAAAACTTAAAAGATCTTCTTTTAAAGAACCCAAAGAGCTAGAGCTAAGATATTTAGCATGAAACATCTTCTATTGAGTGTCTACCAAGTTTGTTCAAATAAAAGCCCTGAGGTCAAAATTGGCCCTGCCCCAGGGGGTCATAGATTTTCCCTATATGCATATAGTAAAAACTTAAAAAATCTTCTTTTAAAGAACCGTAAGAGCTAGAGCTTAGATATTTGGCATGAAACATCTTCTAGTGAATGTCTACCAAGTTTGTTCAAATAAAAGCCCTGGGGTCAAAGTTGGCCCCGCCCAAGGGGGTCATTGATTTTCCCTATATGCATATAGTAAAAACTTAAAAAATCTTCTTTTAAAGAACCCAAAGAGCTAGAGCTAAGATATTTAGCATGAAACATGTTCTAATGGGTGTCTACCAAGTATGTTCAAATAAAAGCCCTGGGGTCAAAACTGGCCCCGCCCCAGGTGTCATTGATTTTCCTTATATGTGTTTAGCAAAAACTTAAAAAACTTCTTTGAAAAAAACCAAATAGCTAGAGTTTAGATATTAAGCATGAAACATCTTTAAGTAAATATCTACAAAGTTTGTTCAAATAAAAGCCCGGGGGTCAAAACTGGCCCTGCCCCAGGGGTGTCATTGTTTTTAACTATATGTGTATAGTAAAAACCTTAAAAAATCTTCTTTTAAAAAACCCAATGAGCTAGAACTTAGATGTTTAGCATGAAACATCTTCTTATGGGTGTCTACCAAGTCTGTTCAAATAAACAAATAAAAGCCCTTGGGTAAAAATTGGCCGGGGGGGGGGGGGGCTATATACAGGTGAGCGACCTCAGGGCCATCATGGCCTCTTGTTTTATTTGTTTGTTCACGACCGTCAGTGTCTCGGTCCAGTTTTCTTTGCCATTTGATTGCGTTTTACTTCACACTGACATAGTATAGGTCATAAGGCGACTTTCCAGCTTATCTAGTGGAGGAAAACCTAAGGTGCCCTTCAGTGCATTATTTCAGGCGTGAAGGGGCACCTGAGTAGAACCAGCAATGTTCCATAAGCTAGCTGGATAGCTTCTTCAAAGTTGTTTGAATTAGATCTAGACAATTTTAGATAGCTGGACACAAATGACATGTTGCCCTTTGGTCAACAAGATTGACTGACTAACTTTAAATGATGAATTGAAACTTCACCATCTTTCGGCTGAGATTTAAGATGATTCTTTCTATTCTGACAAAGTTATTTGATTTGTGTGTTATTAGAACACATGTTTGACATTTGTACAAACTGTATTTTGTTTAAAATTTTGTAAGCTTACGATGCAACACTTCGCACCAAGTTAAAAACAATTGCTAAGTTATCAGTTTAAAGAAAAGTCGGTCTGCAAAAAAGGAGTCTTATCAGATTAAAAATGTAAATTTAAGTTTTTTGTGAAAACCAGAGACCGTCTCATTATACAAGTTAAGCCAACTTGGCTTTAAATTTATAAACATGATTTTGATAATGAAAATTTTTTACAATGTTTAAAGTATTTCAAATTAAAACTGAATTCTAAATCTCTGAGGCATAGTCGTATTAAAAAGGTAGCATTGAATATGATATTGTCTCTGTGCATTACATAGTACATGTAGATTATTGCAAAATATATTATTGTTTAGTATCGATAGTAGTTATGGAAATTCTTGATTTTCTTTCATTTCAGGTGATTCCGACATCATCAGAAGTATGCCTTCAGAACAGGCTTCTTAATTTCTTGTATTTACAATAAATAAAGTTGGCTTGTTAAGTAAACTTGTTTTGTTTTATGTTTGCCTCTATTAGATTTGTTGAATAGAAATTAAGATTTTTTCCTTTTTGAAGTGTCAAATGTTACCTTTTTCATAGATAATATTAATTTGATTGCATGTAATTGCTCTTGAATGTTGAGAATCTGAAAGGAAACCAGAGGGAATTGTTTCCAACTGTTAATGCACAAAGCCTCCTTGAGGTCAGCAAGTACAGTAACAAAGTATCTATTAATTTGCTGTATTTTTATCGCTACTAGAATTTCGTCCATTTATGAGTCGACTAGAATAAAATTAATATTGCACATGAGGAAGGGAAGTTACTAAAGACCAACAAGATATAATGTTTGATGATTTTAATAAAAAGATATCCCTCGTGATTATTTTCTCAATGAATTGAGAAAAAAGAAAAGAAAATTAAAAGAAATAAGAAAAAAAAAGTACATGTATATGAAGAATATGTTATAAATAACTGTTCAAATTAAATTGCAATTAAAAATACATCATTGCAAATCTTATATAGCACCATACAGATACTAGTAAGGCCAGTACAAAATAATTCATTCTCTTTTAACATTAGCTTTGACCAATTTGTTTCATATTGCTTTAATGTTGCCGATGGTTAAATAAATTTTGTCATCCTTATTCTAACTATTGAAACAAGTTTTGCCTTCCATAAACTGCTGCATAGCTGATTGTCTTTTTGACCAGTGCTGACCAAAATCTGCATGTATATTCTATAAAATGAACTCGGAACATTAGAAACCATATATATGATGCTGCTTTAAGATGCACACCATCCGAACAATTTGTCCAACATGTCGACTATAACTAGCGCATAATATAAAAGTTCGTCTGAAAAGATTAGCCAAGTCCATTTCAAATATTTAACAAGGGTTAAATGCAGAGCAACTCGGTGTAATATGCGTTCGCAGTAGCGCCCTCTTTACAACTATTATTTCTTCCAAAAGTAGGACTAAGAAGAGTGAAGAATGAATTTAACCTATAGAATAAAATCTCTCCGCAACATTATTGTTTCCCAATGGAGATTATACTGTCTTTACCTTTTGCCTACTGATACCCATGCCACCAGGACAGACCAGGATCAATTAGCTCATTAGGGCGTCCTGATCGAAGTCGGCACCGAGTCCGATTACTTTTCATTCAGTGGACATTTTGAAAATTTACCCTAAAAGTGATGAATAGTTTTGTCTAAATTAAAAGATGGATAAGTCTAAGATATTAAGAGTGTTAAGAGATAAACCAATGAATAAGCTGAAACAACGAGGTATTTTCCCCCTATATATTTTATACTGGCCTAAATATAAAATGAAATGAGGTACAGTTTCATGCAAAAATAAGAACTTATTTGAGATTACTACAATGTCAACAAAAATTAATTGGAAAGTTAGAAGTAGTAGCAGACGGACAGCGAAAGATTTTTAGTTTTCACTATCCGAATGCTACTACTGTTAGATCAAAGAAAAATTTGCTATGTACAATAAGACTCATTTGTTATGCTAAATATAAGCATTGCAATAATACTTCTCTTTCCACTTTTCTACTGATGATTACTAAGCTATAAGATACATCATAAATTTCTTTTTTTCTTCTTTGCAACATTAGGCAAACAAGAATTGGGTTATTTTTTGTTATTTAAAAAATGAAATTTGACAACATACTGATATGTATAAAGGAACAAAAAGAAGAATGTTTGCATAAATAATACATATGTTATCGAGATACAGGCATCACATACAAGCATGAGTCTGTTTGACAATTTGTCGAAGTCACACTACAGGTTACATAGCGACTTTCAAACTTAATTAACTGGGGAAGACCTCGGGTTCCCCTTTGTGTATTATTTCAGCAGAACCACCAGCCTTCCATAAGCTAGCTGGATAGAATCCTCAAATAAAAGATGTCGTAGTCACTGGCAAGATTCAAGACAACAGTGGTGAGGGGCAAAGTTCTGCAAAATAATGACTTTACCCACTCAGCCACTCATCTTTCAGCACAGTGACACTAGAAACTGTATATGACGTAAATAAATTGCCATACAAAATGATAAACTATGCAAATTTCAGATCAGACATAAAGTAATCTCCACTTAAAACAATATTTAAAGGGACCACAAATTTATATTGTTGTGTCCGAGAGGCAACCAATATGAAAATGAGCTGGTAATATCGTTATCAGCGATATTGTTATAAGTGCAGTAAACTGTATTAGAAATCATATGGATTTGCAAGATCATTGGAACCTTTTAATATACTGACAAAATTTGAAGAAAAAACAAAACGAAAAACCAAAAAAAAACTTACACATACCCACAAAAATATGCAAAATAGCAACATACATATGTAATATTATGCTACTGAAAACATTTGTTTAAATAAACAAAAAAACATATATGTAGCAATTAACACCATTCATACAGTATCTTTCATATGAAAATCTTTAACACTTCACATATATGAATATAAAATACAAGATTTAGTACAAAATAAAAGATTGACAACCTTAAATAAAAGTTCTTATCAAACACTGGTCATTTACTTGTAAGTGGTTAGATTATTACCCTCCCAACTTAAAAAAATATTGACGAGCTCTGATTGATTATCATTCTATATCATTGCAATCAACCCAAAATCACTTTAAAAAGAAACTATTTTAAACTCAAAAGAGTGCTTTATTTTAAGATTGAAATATATGAAAAGTTACATTCCATCAACCCAACACTTCTATAATGGATTAAAATATTTCATCTCACAAGTTTATCATATTTCATAAAATATTTACTCATTTTCAAGTACAAAAAATAGGTGACCCTTTCGTACAATATTTGAACTTGTAACAAAAAAGATATATTTGTAAGGCACTATAAACAACAAAAAGCAAAAATCTTAACAAAGATGTAACAATTGTATATTCACAGATAAACAGTATCCAACTAAAAATTTAGAAAATGAATGAATCTCAAAAAGCCATTAACTGTCAGATCTTTAAATACAGTAAAAAAAAGCGCATGAAAACTTTTCGATGTATATATGATAGAACTTTTGATTAAATATATCCATTCATATTGCCAGCTTCTTCAGCCATATATGACTGGTTTGCAATGTCAAGTTTCTTTAATCTTTAAGATTATCAACTAAATATTAGTATGTGTAATTAGAGGAGCATAAATGACCAGACTTTATTCTTTAGATAAAATAATCATGTTACACTCAAGTTTTGCTTAAAGGCACATTATTCCTCAGGAATTAATAAAGTTTCCATTTTGAAGAAAGGGCAAACAGGTTTTTTTTATATTGTTGTTTATTGATTTAGAACATGCTTATCGTCTGAAAGAAGGGAAGGGTGCTAAATGTAAAAATATTTGTCACAAAGGTAAGAGAATGTAAACAAAGTGGCATTTCAACTTCCGTACAAAATACTAAGTCACTATAACTATACTCATTGCTTAAACACAAAATGAACAAAAGATGTTTCACCATTATGGTAAATCATGAGTAACTTTTTGGAAACTGTAACCTAGCACCAGAAATAAAAGCTTTTGAAAAATAAAAATAATAGCATGTTTGAGGTTTAATGTGCCTTTAAGAAAGTTATAGGTACATAGCCTCTAAGAAAGTTATAGGTACATAGACCTTCAGAAAGTTATAGGTACATAGCCTTTGAGAAAATTTAAGGTACTTTATAATATTATGCTAAAGGACATTATGAGCTGTGAAAATAAATGTTGAGTATTTGAAATTGCATCAATACACAATGAAAAATAGACAATAATGTTACAAAAATATGTTTGATATATCACAGAAAGATGGTATTCCATTGTTCAAGAAAATACTCCCATTGATCATTACATGTACATTCAGTATTTTCAATATGTAGGCCTTTAAAATATAAATTTCAATTATTGTTAATTGACTCGAAATTTATTCAAAATTGTATCAATTCATGTAAGCTTGGTCAACTTTCTTGAAATACTTACTATTTTCACAAGCTGATTAAATTATTTACATAAAAAATATATATTACACATTTAATATATATATATATATATCTGGAAAAAAAGAAATTAAAAATGAAATCCAAAACTGTCCCCATTATTTAATTTTATTGACCGACTGGACGAGCTATAGAACGGTTAGGGTTAAAATAAATGCTGTCATAACAAGGGGAGTAACTTCATACAAAAATAACTTTTCTCTCTTTAATATATATATATATATGTAACATATCATAGAGCGATATGTTTTTATAATATTTGCTATTCAGTATGTAAATATTTTGAAAATTTCCAAAATAAATAATGGACAAGTCCATTTAAGATATTTATGTAACAATAAATGATGACAATTTTGGATGACATTTCGATCATAATTTAACCTAAGATACACATCTATTATAATTCATCATGATCTTTTCCGTATTTCTTCATCATTTCGTTAATGTAGGTTTCCATGGCAACAACTGTCTTCTCTCCTTGATATGATATAATGGCCGCTCCATTGTGATATAATTTATACTGTGGATAAGGTCCGTTGGCCTGAATAACGACAAACATAAAGTTTTATAGATTTCAACGAAAAAGATTATTTTTGTCTCCTATATTTACTCTAAGCTTTCAGGTCTTTGGTCAAGATACAAAATAAAGATTGTGGCTAAATGAAACTTGTCATTTTCTAGAAGAATTCTGAACTATTGTAAACCTTAGACTGCTATGATTATAATGATTTGTCAAATTAAGTCAGGCCAGCTTGTACATTTACATAATATTATGTACTCTTTTCGATCTATGCATTCAGATATTGAGATATTAAAATCTCTTGAAAAATTAAAAATGCATAATAATAAATGAAGTGCAGGGAGAGTGTATGGCACAAATCTAGCAAAAAAAAATGTTATTGGCATCAAGTTTTATGGAAATGTTATAATAAGATGCTAAAATGAACTTACGTCCTGATTTTTACAAGTATTTCCATTCTTCTTACAATCAACTGTTGCCACTAATAGTTCTGGTTTGGTGACATAACGTTCTGCGAGCTTCTTTAATGTTGGCATGACAGCTTCAATACGCTTACTGAAACCAGAGAATAAAATCCATTCATTTTCTTATGAACATAAAGGAAACAACTACAGAAGAAAATCTCAACTAACGTCTACATATTTACTCATAAAAAATGAAGAATTTTAATTTGTTGATACTGAAACCAACTAATCACTAAACAGTAACTATTGTCAACCTAAGACTTCGAAGTTAGGTCTACATTTGTGCAAAACAATCATTTAAGTTGAGCATAAACATTTTAACCATGCCATAAAATAACTCATTTATATATCTATTTATAGTCACATTCTGTCCCGTCTTTTTTAGTACTTCAGTGAAATATATCCTGATGAAGGTCTTTAAAGACCAAAACCGGTAGGTCCTAGAATAAATCAGTTACAAACCATCCTGATGTTTGATGTGTGTTCTCTCCTTCTCTTGATTTACTTTTGAACAAGAAAAGCCATAGTAATGAAGGGTTTATGCACCTTCTTTCATGCATTAACATCTACAGAAGCAAGAGGACTTATTTGACCTCACCGCAGGGTGAGGGATTTAGAAAGTCCCAAGGGTTTCTGCAGGTTTTCATGCATTAAAAAAATTGCAATCGCACTATCCTTGTATAAAAGTATTTGGCATTTCGTTTTCTGTATTTTGTATAAACCATATTATTATCGAGCCATGCTTTCCACATATTAAAGTGATGTGAATTGACAGTTATGTTTTAACAATAACACTACCGAGACTATTACTGCATTCAAATGTTATTAAATTGAGAAACAGTGGCGCACGGTCATGAGAATATATCAAAACATGTTTTCTCCTCTGTAAAAGTATATCTATGTATGCATTTTTCTGCAGGAATGATGGTTGCTCTCTGATGAAAAGCAATAAAGAGCACCATTTGCAGTATTAACATCTTTGGCGTGATGACTTGCCACCAGTATCTCATTTTTTTTTTAAATGTGCAAACTGTTCTTTTTACTCTTGGCCACTGAATTTAAGCATTTTACGTAAAAAACCCTTGTGACAATGAAAAGTCCCAAGTTCAATGCTGGGCAAGTCCATTTTTAAAAATTTAGCAAGGTAAGTTTTAATTAACTCTTACCACACTAAATCTCTGAAATAGACTTGTCCATCTTTCATTCTGGATAAAACTATTTATTATGGGAAAATTTCAAAACTAGTATTGACTGAATAGCAAAAAGTGTAGACAACAATCACACAACAGAGGTGCTGCCTAATCTTGGTCTGCACTGGTCACATGGGTACATACTATTAGTTGCTGCCAGCAGGCTGAAGGTTAGGCTGGGGCAGGTTTACTAATACTTACTCATCATTGTCAAATACAGCTAGTGTAAAATCTTCTGATACAGATTCTTTAAAATCATCATCATTCAAAGACACAACTCCCTTAAAGGATAAAAATAAATCGTAATGTAAAACAGGTTCTTCATGATACAAGAGTTGTCAGCAGGCACTTAAGTGTGGTAACAACCTTAATTACAACATACAGGATCTTTAACACTTTCAAGCTTTATTCTTGGAACAACCATCATTTGTGCGAAACAAGAAAAACATGGAAATGACCCTATTAGTGCTCAAACATACAATCACTGGTTTAAGAGACAGACACCTTAAACATTAATACATCAATGCTCTAGCCTTTTCTCACCTTCTATTTTTGAGCAGTCCATTATCAATTTTGTGGTTTACAAAAAAGTTCAAGTAAATCAGCTAACACTATAAAGCCTGGAGCACAACATGTACTAATCATTATGGTGTCATGTATATATATAAACCTCTGGTGTAATTCTAATATGATGATATTATATTATCAAAAACAATTGAAATAACCATGTGTGGAAAGAAAGCTTTCAGGGTGTATAATCACTATTTGGAGTATCACAAATTTTATTTTTTCCATACACTAGTATAAAATTTGCCATCTAAACAAGTTTATCCATTGATATGTTCATTTTCACAATAAAGTTGTTTTTCTACATTGTCAATCTACTATCAATTTCTTTTTATCTTTTTCAAAAACAATAATAAATAAGTCTTACAACTTCTGGTTCGTCTCTCAAAATATCCGGAACTTTCCCGTCTTTAGATGTCTTGGCGGTCTCCGACTCAACACTTGTCATTTTTGTTACAAAGTTTGTCAGTTCTTCAATTGACCTCTGACCTCTATAATCTTCACTCTATAAAATAGATAATACCGTATATTCCCTAATAAATGCCCTTTCCATAATAAATATCATAACAGATATCAGCCTTTGTGTTTTTTAAACTCAAGTGGAGAAAATACTTTGTAAATGCATGAAATATATATCTTAAGTATACTTTATGATAACTTCTAAGTTTCCAAAATCTTCATTATTGTTAATAAGTTACCATGAAAAAAAAAACACACATTTTTTGTTGGGTCACACTTCTTTTCAGGGTAACAAAATCAATATATGGGAAGGACAACCATCAACATTAAAACCTTGTACAGGATTTTTCATAAAAACTGGTCAAATAAACAATAATTCTGCTGATGTCAGACTGACAAATCTTGTGTGGAGAACCTTTGAGAATCTTCCGCAGATTTTTTTTTAAAGTTCACAAAAGAGGAACACAGTTTGACATGTCTTTGGGACTGAGCTTACATGAAAACTATAGGCAGGTGACCTCTATATCCAAGTTGGCATAAATATCTTATACATTGATAAAATAAGATTATTGATAATTGGTCAGTAGATAGAGAACCAACTACTTTGCACAATATCTACATTCTACAATGTTTATGCTGATGTCTGATTGTCTCTTCTTCCCCCAAACGTAACGTCTACGCTTGGTTTCCGCCAAAATAACTTTGTCTCTACATCAACAACAACTATACTTGCATTCTCGACATATATTTATCATATGTTGCCATTCAAATTATATCTACAAACTATATATTATGTTGAATGGTTGTTGTTTATGTTTTTGATATGTGTGTACATATTTGTGAATTTCATTATCTTGTTTAATTGAAGGCCATATTGTAAATAAGAAATGTATTTCTTAATATGTTACCTTCATGAAATAAAGTGTTTATTATTATTATTACTATTATGTTGTCATAGTGACAGTTTGTAAAAATTAATAGAAACACTTTTCTTGCAAAAAAATTCAGCTGTCTTTGAGAGGGATAGTAAAAAACATTCTGAAGGAAACTTATCTGTGAAGAAAATTACATGTATCATAAATTATGATTAACTTACCTTTTCACCATTTGTGAACCAGAGTATAGTGGGGTATCCACGGATACCATATTTAGTGCATGTCATCTTATTCTGAGTGCAATCAACCTGCAAACATAATTGAAAGTATGTGCTTAATAGATGAAAGCATTACAAGTATCATAAATTTTTGATGGTATTTTCAAGAGAAAAAATCAATATGAAATATGAATATTAAAAATATTTTGCTGTGGGAGTTGTAGTATTTGGTTCAAGACTTAGTGGATTCTGGTAAAATTAGCGTTGTAAGACTCTGCTGCCTGCATATTGAATACATGTATACATTTCAAATTTTGTCATTAAGTATTTGTTAGGTTTTAATGCCAATTTTAATACATGTCAGCTGTCGGACTTGTCATCCAGGGGTTACTTGTTCTATCCTCTCGTGTTGCGTAAATTCTACATGATAATTGAGCTCGAACATTGGGTATAATGGTCAGTAAAATGCAAAAAAAAAAAAAAATCTGTGCCTGACAGTTCAATGTTTAAAATCTGTACCTGTCAGTAAAATGTTTAAAGTCTGTACCAGACATTTAAATGCAGAAGTCTGTGCCTGATAGTGATTTATTTAAAGTGAGTACAATGTAGGCAATTTGTACCTGATTATCATAAAATAATTATAAGGTACATGTACAATGTAATTATTACCTGTCAATGTTCAAAATCATTCTCAAATAAGGAAAACACTACAAAATTATTTCTTTTTATTAATTACTTTATGTAAGGTAATTAATGTTATTTACAATAAAACTGTACATTAATTTACATCAATTAAACTGCTTTGGGGCAAAAACAGATATTTTGATACTTTGAGTGTACTTTAATTTTTCTATACTTTAAAACTGATCAAAATTTAACTATGATGGAAGATTTGTAGATATAGTTTCAAGTTGCACAGACTCCAACAAGATCTCATAGTGACTTTCCAGAGTGAGACTAAAGGGAAATAGTCCAAAGTCAAAGAGTTTCCACACATGTATTACCAAACATCATCCTACAGCAAGATTCAAACCCTTCATGAAGAGCCATGATCAACAGAGAGATACCTTTAACATTATATATGCTACTAGCAATAATTACAGACCTACATCACCACCAGTACTGTACCAGCCAGCCCAGCTTATACATCTGTGCAGTCTGACCAGACTCTTTTACTATACATTGGCAGCAAAATTTCAATATAAAATTTAAACTACTAAAGCTTCATGTTGCTGCTGTTATTTTTGGCAATTAAAATACAGTTATAGTGATTCAGTATTCTGTATGAAAGTCAAAATGCTACTTTATTTACATTTAGCTACTTTTATGACAAATAATTTCACATTCAACACTACTTTCTTTAGGTGAAATCTAAAATCATCTAAAATGCTCTCAAATCATTATTTGTATGGTAGCCAACTCATAATTGCTTATGAAGTCATGAAAGTTTGAAATATCAAATTTTATTGTAGAACAAAAAAAAGGCAATAAATCTATAAGATCACTATAACACCATCATGGCATGTATAAAAAGCTCCACATTTTATTTCACAAGGTGTTGCCTTTGTTAAACACATTCTATATATAGTATATGAACAGATGTATGTGAATCAAGAAATAAATTCAAACATTCATTCTATATGATCAACTATCAGTCATATTTATCAGAGTAAGCCTGTCTCACTTATTTTGACATAATCAGATAAAACTGCTTCTATATTCATAGGACATTAAATTGCAGTCTGGATCAAACTTTAACCAAATAAATTCCATTTTCATAAATTTCAACCCATTTACTAATATTTAATGAACACACTTGACATAGCACAATAATTGAACTATTTTACATGTTGAATACACACTACCTGAAGTTAGCTTTTAATGGTTGAATTTTCTTAATGTAAACAAGGTAAGTTGTGTTGACATAAAAAAAGAACAAATTTTTCAAAGTTTATTATTTTGAATTTCCAGCTGTTCAGTTTTCAAATACCTCATTTTAGTATAAAGATGGTATAATAAGCTTGGTTACATAGAGGCTGGCCTAGCCCTATACTGGTGGTAAAATGCAAGTCATTCTCGTCTCTTGCATTAAGGGAGCTAGGTTTATATCATATAACACCATATTCTGACTTTGTTTTGAATGACTGCAACATACAGTTCATTTCATTATTTTTTCCCTGGGTTTAAAGCCATATGGAGATGTGAAAGTTCACAATGTGACTTTCCAGCTTTCCTTCTGGAAGAAGAGTTCTGGTACCCCACTGCATTATTTGAGGCAAGAGTTAGCACCCCAGTTGAACCATCTACCTTCAGTAAGGTAGTAATCTAGCTGGATAACTTGCTTACATGAAAACATCCCAAGGTCACTGGTGGGATCTGAACCAACGGTGGTGAGGGGTGATTGTTTTGAAGTCAGCGACCTTAACAAAAAAAACACATAGAACTATACATACCTTTCCAACTTTGACTTTATCGTTGTCTACATACTGACTAGCAAGTTGTTCCCAAGTTGGTGCCATTCTTTTACAGTGTCCACACCATGGAGCAAAGAATTTGATAAAATGATGTCCAGTGGCAACATGACTAGAGAACGTGGCATCGCTAAGATCGTACAAGCCGTCGGTTACTACAATTTCTGGTTCTTTCTCTTCTTCCTTCTTCTCCGGAACCGGTTGCTCGAGTTTTTGGTTCAAGTTCAGACCCTGTAAAGGTTAAAACAAAAAGTTTTTGGTTCAAGTTCAGACCCTGTAAAGGTTAAAACAAAAAGTTTTTGGTTCAAGTTCAGACCCTGTAAAGGTTAAAACAAAAAGTTTTTGGTTCAAGTTCAGACCCTGTAAAGGTTAAAACAAAAAGTTTTTGGTTCAAGTTCAGACCCTGTAAAGGTTAGAACAATAAGTTTTTGGTTCAAGTTCAGACCCTGTAAAGGTTAGAACAATAAGTTTTTGGTTCAAGTTCAGACTCTGTAAAGGTTAAAACAATAAGTTTTTGGTTCAAGTTCAGACCCTGTAAAGGTTAGAACAATAAGTTTTTGGTTCAAGTTCAGACCCTGTAAAGGTTAAAACAATAAGTTTTTGGTTCAAGTTCAGACCCTGTAAAGGTTAGAACAATAAGTTTTTGGTTCAAGTTCAGACCCTGTAAAGGTTAGAACAATAAGTTTTTGGTTCAAGTTCAGACCCTGTAAAGGTTAAAACAATAGACAATAGAGATTGTACATAAAGATGATTTTGCTTACCTCACACACAATTTGAAAGTAAATAATATTTACCTTACTTAATATATAATGGACTTGCCAAGTGTTGAATTTGGAATTGTTAATTAGTAGTTTAAAAGAGTTTTAGAAGTAAGACTTGAAGCACCCAGGAAACATTGTCATTGTTTTATTAAATTTTTACCTTTTATTACATGTGAAACTCCTGCAATTCAAATTTTACTGCCAAAAATTGTTGATAAGTTTTAGGTGTTAAAATAAGACTATTCTGGTTACACTGAATCTGTGTTAAGTGTTGATTTAACTTATCTTAATTTTAATACCCCCAGGCAGATCAATATGTTAGGAGGGCATATAATATTGTTTTAAATCTGACTGATTGTCCTAAAACTTGAACATGGTAATCATCCCACCTACAGCATCAACATTTAGCAGGTGTATGAACCTTTATGAGCACTATAAACCATAGCCACAAGACTCACTAAGAGGCCAAAGGTTAAAGTTCAAAGGTGTGAAAAACTATTTCACTGTAGAGAGGAAAGTGTGAAATATTTATATTCACAAGAAGAATATTAAAACAACACAGGCAGCAAAGTCATCATATACAAGCTGTCGACACAATAAAACAAACATCAATGATACAGGTAACAGCTGCTGTTCTGTTTATCTATGTAACAGACGGCATGTCAGATAAATTTATTCAAACCCAGTGAATAATTTAACAAATCTCCCTAGTGAATAATTTAACAAATCTCTGTCATTTCTAGTTTATTCTATATGATTGTGTTTGTGTATTACTTTATAAATAGAGTCAGAGAGGGAACTTAAATGTTCCTATATAATTGATAAGAATTTTCCAAGGTGTATCAAATGGGTCTCAAAAATAATTGGGAGAAAACATGTAACCAACTCCATGATTTTTTCTTTTCTTTTAAAGCAGCACACCTCCAGACTCATGTTAATTTTCATGGAAATTTTGAAAATGTATTTTAAAAGTAAAACATTGTGAGGTATGCAAATAAAGTAATTTACATATTGCAATCGGCACTTACAATCCAAAAAAAATTACCAACAAGTGGTCAACATTATGCAAAAAAAAGCCCTTACTACATAAGTAACTCAGTACAAATATGGTGATGAAATACTGCAAAATCATTCTTAAACCGCACATAACATGTACAATATAACTTAAATCTTGAATGTTTTATCTTTCTAAAAATTTAAGAAATTTTTTTCTCAAAATTGATTTTCTTGAAATATTTTGCCTCATCTAGAGGCGTGCAGCTTTAAGGAAGTAGTCATGAAGGATTCGTAAGTATCTCAGTCTGGTAAAGGTCTTTTCAGATAATGAGATGGGAAGTTCCTAAAAGGGTTACATGTATTTGTCATATGGTGACTTTGACAGTAGAAGAGTTAATTGTACATCAAATTAAAATAAATGTATGCAAATATTATAGGATGACATCTGTAAAAATATCAACAAACAAACCAATATTTCATAAACTCATAAATAATATGAACATTTACAATACTGTCCAAGGCATTAGAATTTCAATAATATTAATAATACATGAAATACCTAAAAAGGTCTCTATTTATGTACATGTACAATACATGTGTGTAATTTACATGTACATTGCCATTAGAAATTATGGGTAAAATGTTGTCAATGTGTTAGCCTAGAGCCACAATAAATATGTCCTGGCAATATGATCACAAATATGATAATATCGTGCACATCATGTGAAAGGTAGATTTTCAATATTTCCAAAATTTTACCACACGTGCAGCACTACTTTTTCAGTTATAAAACATCCAATATGCACTTAATACATTGGGGCCCTGGACCACGACCTTCTATTATGCTCTCAAAAAAGTCTGTGAAGTTTCAAGCAATTCCCTTCAGTTGATTTGGAGATACAAACTTACACGCAACAACTAAATCAAAGTGTGACAGTGACGCACACCCTGGGTATGTACAATACCCATCAAATAGTTGAGCAAAATATGACAACCTCATTTGCAAATAGACTGTCTCAGAAAAAAACTTTAATAACATTTAACTAAAAGTCAAGCTAAAAACTGAGTAAATATGTGTTACATAAACATTTACTTACTTCGCCCTTGGACAAGGCATCTGCAATAAACGTCTTAAAAGCCTCCACTGATCGATCGTTTCCATATTTTATACCAAGACTGCTTCTGTGAAACCACTTCACTGTTGGGTATCCACGAACCAAATGATCGCTGCATAGATCTGTTTCCTTTGTACAGTCAACCTAAGAATGACAGTATATAATCATGGTTTTTATCAGTTAATTGGGATAAATCAGGGTTAGAATGTCCTTTTTTTTCCCCACTAGCAAATGATAAGTGACTTTCTTATGAATTTACAATATGAGAAAATAACTTGCAAAATTGAATTTACAGGGTCTGAATAGGACTTTGAGCATTTAATTTTAAATGCAATACATTTAATTGGTTCTCATATTTTAAGCTTCATAATCCTCAGCAGTCAGGTTTGCTCATTCACCCAATATTACCCCAAATATATGATTTTTATAAATTTTATAATATTGAAGACTTTATGTGTGAAGTTTTAAGTGAATATGAACAGCTGTTAATGTGATTATATGACATTGATTTGAAGTTGCATGTAAAGATTTTTGCACACATATACATGTGTATGTACTGTAGTATCTAGTGTTAGATGAATGGTCCCGCTATCTTCGCAAAGGTTCAGCTAGAAATCATGTCATAGTATCTCTAAACTTTATTTTTCATGAATTTGTTAGTTAGGGAAATAGGTAAACTCAGTCTAAGCCTACCTTTCCAATGGTTACTTTACGTTCATCTATATTGAATTCCTTTGCAAGATCATCCCAAGTTGGCGCAAGTCGTTTACAATGGCCGCACCTTAAATTATAATTTATATATACCATAAAAATGAAATGCATTAATAGGATGCATGAAAAGATGGATTACCATTTATATAACTTTGGTTAGAATATAAACTTTCTTTATTTGGTTGATTTTTGCACCTGACCTTTTTAAACATGTTTTTTTCGGTCACATCTCAGTGGTTGGTCCACCTTAACAACCTTAACAGTAAGTTTTACAGGCATAAATAAAACATTTTTGGCAGTTAGTTGCAAAAAATGATATTCATTGCAGCCAAATTCAGACTGCCATAAGGGGGGAAATTTCGGCCTTGAGGAGGGAAAAAAAAACTATTTTGGATTATTTGGAGGGAGAATTTGGCCGCATTTCGCAGAATATTTCGGTGAAAAAAAACAAAAACACTGGATTGTGAGCAAGACACATAAGATTTACATGCATCACTCCGCCTCACAATGGTGAACATTTGTGCCAAGATACATTGTAATCCCTCTATGCATGTAAAAGTTTTGCTCTGGACAAGCCTTTTTCAATGACTGCTAAGTGTGACCTTGACCTTTGACCTAATTCAAATGCATGGTACTGCTTCTTATAGTGATAAACATTTGTTTGAAGTGTCAATAAATCCCTCCATGGATATATGTACATGTAGGATATGCTCTGGACAAAATATCTATATTTAATCATCTTTAGTGACCTAGAGTGACCTAGACTATCATCTTTATTGACCTTGACCTTGTATGTATTAACCTTAATTAAATGCTTCACACCAGTAGTCATGATAATAACAGATAATGACCATTTGTGTTTCAATCCCTAAATGGTTCAAATACACATTTTCTTACTTTTAACTGAACTTGAACACCTATGTGTGACCTTGACCCTGGCGGCAGGGACCTAAATTTTGCATATGACACTTAAGTGTGATAATGACCTTTGACCTGTAGACCCGATTCAAACAAATTTTTGACATAAAATAAATTCCACCAATTTTCAAATTCTAAATCTATCCATCTATCTTCCATTTATGTCAACCCCTCGTGGGGATGTAGACATGACTAAAGACTAGTCACTTCAGAGAAAGCTATGAGATACATGGGAATCCGGGAACCAGTCCCTAGATCATATTGAATAGACCCCTTGGTTCTTTTACATGCCCAGAGTATAGCAATGATACATGCGAGGATTACCTGGATTTCTTACCAGTACACCACTAGTTAGTGGGAAATACTGAAAGTGTCTCTGAAAGATCCCAAGGGTGTTACCTAGGACCTCAGTCCTGATCTCGAGTGACAGCCAGTGAACCAACTGATCTATCGCGCAACCACTGTTGTGCGATTCTATCAAATATCGGATTCTACTAACTGTAATATACAATGATATGATAATGCCTTCGTCGAAATGTCATGAACACATGAAAGCAAATTCAAACGCTTGAAGTGAAAAATAAAACTTACCAGGGAGCATAAAACATTACAAACAGAATTTCTTCATTTGCAATGGCTTCGTTAAACGTTTGCTTTGTGAACGATACTGCATTTTCACCATGCTCATCTGAAACAGCCAATCCGATTAGACAAATGACTAAAATAAAACCGAAAATAAAATTCTGCATCTTGTCAATAAACGTTACGAGCAGGTAACACAATGTGAAAGTAACGTGTACAATTACAAGTAACGAACCGAAAAATCCGAAGAAACCGAATGATAATTTAGTAGAACTTGATTTGGAAACTGTTGGCAAATGTATAAAGAATATATTCCGAATCATAAACAGAGCGATTATAGTAGACTCAATTTCGGATATTGGCAAGCATAAGTTCAGTTTCATCAAATGATTTAACGTTACCAAAGTCATAACATTGTTTAAGACTGTCACCAATAGCTGATCAATCAATAATCAATCATTGTCATTGCAATATGCATGCTTTCAAGTGTGAATTAAGCTATATACACGCCCGTTTAACTCACAACGAGTGAAAAACGGTCTCCCTAATTACCGACAAGAACCGTCAGGAACCGACAAGAACCGACAAGAAGTAAAAATAGGAAAATACGAATTAATTTCACTTCTTCATCATTTAAAAATAACAATTCCTAATATTTTTTACATTAAAAACATAATAAATTCGTTGTGAACCATGTTTATAGGCAAATATCTATACCGACAAGAAGTCAGTCTCAGTTCCTCACCGTCAAGAACTCGGCCATCTTCGTATCATTGATATTACATTAAGAATTTGTGTATAAGTGTTAAATCATAATTATTTTTATTAAGATTATGTTGTATTATAAATAATAATTATTATGTTAAATGTTTTCTAATTCAATTAAGAATATCATCATTAATGAATGATGATATGAGAATATTCGCGGATACCGACAAGAAGTTTCATTATTGCTATCAATGGCGTAGGTTTTTAAATGTGTTCAAATAATTTATTGTCAGCCTATCTATTCAATAAATAATTTTAAAACATTTCGTTGTCATTGATTACAAAATATCCTGCATTTAGGCATTTATTTCTGTACCGACAAGAAATGTGTTCATGTCTACCGACAAGAAATGTTTTCATGCCTACAGTACCGACAAGAAATATTATCATGCTTCATGTTTTCTTTAAAGAGACATTATGTATAGGCAAGATATAACATATTTAATGAAAGTGATCAGTTATAGTTGTTTAAAATAATAGTATTTCATAACTGTATCAAAATATATTTCATATATAAAGTTTTACATACCTGCCATTTAAATTATCCAATTATAATCCATTTACAATTTTTACACAAATACATCGGTAAAGCATACAATAAGGATATAGAATTAAAATAAAATAATGGACGAAAACATAAATTCAATTCAATTATTGTATTAGCATATATACATATAACATATTCAGGGCCCAAAATTTTTTTTTTCGGTTTTTTTCAAGTACAAATTTCAAAATTGATTGCTCAAACAAAATTGATTGATATTACTCAATTAAAGCTTGTGCGCGTGTGTTTCTCACTCAGTTAGCTTTGAGCGATTTAATTGAATCAAAGCTGTGAAAACTTTAAGGGTGAAAAGGTGCGAAAACAATTTCGAAATGAACAGCTGTGAAAGAAGAGATAATTCGTACATTGAGCAGAACAGAAACTTTATTACTTGGTTTAAGCATAAAAAGCTAATCACCATATTAAATATACAAATACAACATATAATACATAAATGACACATGACATGAATTATATTATAAAAAATTATATACTTGACTATAAAATAATGGTTTATGTGATGTGAGAATGTTTAATTTGAGATACGAAATTACTTAAAAAGCATATGAATACACAATAATTTGCCTATCTTTACCAAACATTATCAATTTAAGCTACAATACATTTTCAGTGCTGTAACTTATGTAAATAATTTTAAATTTAAAAAAAAAGTTAAAAATTTCTGCAACCTCTGGCGTGGCGTAACTGCCCGTAAGTTTTATGATAATAAAATATTAAAACCTATAGTGGGGATATCTCTGTTTATTTCTTTACTTCTAGTGGAGAAATGAACCACAACCTGATGAGACCTGTGGTCGAAATAGGTTTCAATGGGTTTTTTTTTCATTAAACAAATACAAGCGTATAATGCATAACATCACATCTTTGTACGTCATGATGTCCGTCTTTTCTTCTCAGTGGTGAGAATTAAGTCATCATATTTCTTCAAAAACTGAAAAAAAGTACAAAAGAAAGATTAAATACATGTTCTTTCTACACTACAGCTCGTTCTCAATTTCTTGTCGGTAAATCTTCATTACGCATGATCCCTGTTTTTTTCTTGTCGGTAATCGATTTGTTAAAATATATTTTAAAACTAAATGGAATAAACACAAATATTTTTTCCTTATATGCATTAAAATATGAAAGTTTAAAGTTATTTAATTACAAAAAAGATTATAAACATGTTCTACATCGACACTACAGCTCGTTCTCAATTTCTTGTCGGTAAATCTTCATTACGCATGATCCCTGTTTTTTTCTTGTCGGTAATCGATTTGTTAAAATATATTTTAAAACTAAATGGAATAAACACAAATATTTTTTTATTATATGCATTAAAATATGAAAGTTTAAAGTTATTTAATTACAAAAAAGATTATAAACATGTTCTACATCGACACTACAGCTCGTTCTCAATTTCTTGTCGGTAAATCTTCATTACGCATGATCCCTGTTTTTTTCTTGTCGGTAATCGATTTGTTAAAATATATTTTAAAACTAAATGGAATAAACACAAATATTTTTTCTTATACATGTATGCATTAAAATATGAAAGTTTAAAGTCTTTAAAGTTATTTAATTACAAAAAAAAAGATTATAAACATGTTCTACATCGACACTACAGCTCGTTCTCAATTTCTTGTCGGTAGATCTTCATTTACTCATGATCCCCCTGTTTTTTCTTGTCGGTAATCGATTTGTTAAAATATATTTTAAAACTAAATGGAATAAACACAAATATTTTTCTTATATTCATTAAAATATGAAAGTTTAAAGTCTTAAAAGTTATTTAATTACAAAAAAAAAGATTATATACATGTTCTACATCTACACTACAGCTCGTTCTCAAATTTCTTGTCGGTAAATCTTCATTACGCATGATCCCTGTTTTTTTCTTGTCGGTAATCGATTTGTTAAAAATATATTTTGAAAAAACTAAATGGAATAAACACAAATATTTTTTCTTATATGCATTAAAATATGAAAGTTTAAAGTCTTAAAAAGTTATTTCATTACAAAAAAAAGATTATATACATGTTCTACATCTACACTACAGCTCGTTCTCAATTTCTTGTCGGTAAATCTTCATTACGCATGATCCCTGTTTTTTTTCTTGTCTTGTTGCATATACATTCATGCAATGTCATGAAAAACTATTTTATGACTACAGATAAGGTTGAAACATGTTTATGAGATATTTCTGACCACAACTTTTGCAACTGATTATATTATTTATATTAGATTGGAAATAACAAATCTTTCTTGTCGGTGTCAACGTAACAGTAACAGTACGCGTTGCACTCGAATTTTTCTTGTCGGTACGCATATATTTAATTTTCTATAAAAATACAAGAAAAACCTTATCAAATATAAAAAATATATATGCCCTGCATGTTTAACAATCATAAAAACACATTTGTATTTGTTTATTTGTAATATATAGGCTCTTGTCGGTTCTTGTCGGTTCCTGACGGTTCTTGTCGGTAATTAGGGAGACCCAGTGAAAAATGTCCATCGGTAAAAATGTTGTGAGCAACTTCCGTTCCTCGTTGTGAGCACCCATCTAGGACGTGTGACACGATAAACAATGTGAGTTTTTCATAATTTTTGAAGATTACAGACATTTATGTAAAAATATCGGAATGCAGTTAGCTAGCGATGTGTTTTCCGAGTATGCACATGTTAAAGATATTGCCTGTTGGTCGACAATTTGATGGAAATAACCGTGCGACGCAGTCACTTGGGGTAGCTGGAAACTGGAGACAATTTCTCTCCGGACCAAATTTAACATTGAAAAACGTCGATTCTGGTGACGTTTTGTGCATTCTTTAACCTAAAACAGATGCCGCACAATCTTCAGCGTAAATTATTTACATGAAAGTCTTCATAGAAAGGAAGGAAAGAATATACCTTTTTTTTGCTTTAATCCTCGTTGTGAGCACCATACCATCGTTGTGAGCAAGACAAGCACAGTGCGTGCTCACCATACCCACTCGTTGTCCCCATAAACCTCGTATGGAGTGAGCAAAGACAAGCGCAGTGCGTGTCTGGTTTTTAATATGTAATTCAAGTGGGGAGAAGTACAATTTTCAATCTACCAAAGCAATCAAAACTTTTTCACAATAGTTTCTCTTTGCAATAGTTCTATTCTTTGTCTACATAACTTGGTCCAGTCTAACATGAATAAAAAATCAGGAAAAATACATGCATGTTTATATCAAACAGACTGCCCTCTATGTTAATCTGGGCAACACGAAGTATATGCAATTAAATACATAATTTACCTCCCTTATTAGTTCACCACCCCATTTGCACAAAACAGCAAAACATCTGCAAAATTGTAGGTATAAGTAGTTTTTTTGTTTACCATTATCTATTAAGCTAAGAATATACTAGTGAAGTGTTAAAAAAGTTACAATACACAAAAATAAGTATTTCCTCCGCGAAAAACGATAGTCGCATATAATAACAGATTCAAATAGTTCTAAGCGTTTGTTTGCTCTGTACACGAGCATTTTTCATGATTTAGTTGCACTGTCTTTCCTAGAAAGCTCATGACAGTCTGTGTTTGACATTTAAATAGCATTTTTCATCATGAAATAGTGACATTTTAAGAAATCTTCTTGACTTCTTAGGTGTTTCACCACTGGTACAATTTTGGGTTAGCTAATTTTACAGTGTGTTTAACTGAAAAGAATGTTTTTGCAAGAGACATGACCAGAACTTTTCTTTTGATTTTTATGCATCACTGACAGTTTTTCTAGTAGTTCTTATCTTTTTCAGACCAGGGCAAGTACATACTTGATGCCTCCTCGCTTCGGTCTCTCCTTGAACGACCCCATGTCCAATCACTGAAAAAGAATAGTACTGCAGTTGGAAGGCCTTGTCCAAAGAGGTGTTGTGCCTAATATGAATTAAATTGATTTACTAATAAGGACATTATGGCCAATCTTAAATGTTTTTTGGACAATTTGACCTTCAAGATAAAGGCATTCAGGTGTCAAGGAAAAAATACAGGCCCCGTAGGAAGGTCTTGTGCTAAGGAATGTTGTGTTCAAATATGATCAAATCATTTACTAATGAGGAAGTTATGGCCAATGTTAAAGTTTTCGGACGGATTGACGGACTGACGGACGGACAGTTCAAAACTAATATGCCTCCCTTCGGGATATGCAGCAACGTCTTGCAAAGAAATGCTGCTGTGCAAAAACGTTTTAATTGCTTTGTAGATTGAAAATTATATTTTCACCATCTTTTGTTTGTTTTGGGGTTTTACGTCACATCGACACAGTATAGGTGATATGACGACGTTCCAGCTTTACTCATGGAGGAAGACCTCAGGTGCCCCTTCCGTGCATTATTTCAGGCACGAACAGGTACCTTAGTAGAACCACCGACGTTCCCGTAAGCTAGCTGGATAGCTTCCTCACATGAAAGAATCAAAGTCCCTGTCGGGAGGTGAGGGGCAAGTGGTTTGAAGTCAACGACCTTAACCACTCAGCCACGGACGCCCCTTTTTCACCATCTGAATAACATATTAAAACCAGACACGCACTGCGCTTGTCTTGCTCACAACGAGGTTATGGTGCTCACAACGAGGATTAAAGCAAATAAGGGTATATCTTCGTTTCTATGAAGACTTTCATGTAATAATTTACGCTGAAGACTTGTGGGCATCTGTTTAAGGTTAGAATGCCACAAAACTTCACCAAATCGACGTTTTCAAATGTTAAATTTGGTCCGGAGAGAAGTTGTCTCCAGTTTTCCCCCAGCTACCCCGAGTGACTGCGTCGCACGGTATTTCCATCAAATTGTCGACCAATAGGCAATATCTTTACATGTGCATACTCAGAAATAACATCGCTAGCTAACTGCATTCCGATATTTTTACATAAATGTCTGTAATCTTCAAAAAATATGAAAAACTCACCTTGTTTATCGTGTCAAACGTCCTAGACGGGTGCTCACAACGAGGAACGGAAGTTGCTCACAACATTTTAACCGATGGACATTTTTCACTCGTTGTGAGTTAAACGGGCGTGTATATAATCAAGGGCATGAAGGGATAAAAACAGCATAAAAACATTTACTACTGTAATGGATCGGACACGTTGATAAGTATTAATAATTAGATGCAATTATTAGAAATTGACAAAATATGATCATGTATATAATATATACTTAACTACTTACATCAAAAGATCAAACAATCCCACAAAACAACATCTTATTATGTGGATAAAAAATATTATTGAAAGTCAAAACAACAATTAATTCCACTAAACCCCACCAAATAAACAATACAAGCAAAACAATGATAACCCTGAATGCCAAACATAATTGAACATTAAGCAACTAGAAATGCTAGAATAGTTAAAAATAAAGCTGATGAAAAACACAATTCAAACAATTTAACTAGAATTCTAGATAATGAACTTGCATTAAATCTGCCTCAGTTCTATTCCTGTAATATAAAATTAAAATGAAGAGACATAAGATTAACCATTTGAGGAGATATATATTATCTTTTCCATTGAATTAAAAAGATGAATCATGTCTTAGGAAAAAAGGAAATTAGTAACGTTGTTCTGTATGGAAATAATAGGACTAGATATAGTGAGTCTGGCCCAACCAAATCACCTCTGTCAGTCTTGAAAACAAGAACCTTCAGTTCAATATTCAAACGACAGTAGAAATTAAATATTTATTCATTAATCGTTATGAATTGCAGTGAAAAGAGAAAAATGAAATAAACACAAATGCATACCAAATCGTACAATCACTTTTAAATAGCTTCACCAAATTGCCAATTTTCTAGTTTTAATCTGATTACTAGTGATTAGTAAACCATTTATTTTCTTGAAGCATAGTATTTTTGATATGGCCATAGTCGACTAATATGGCCATGGCAGGGAAACATAACGAAATGAGTGGAGGCTGCGTTTAACTCTTTTTTTATTTTACATCAAAAAATAAATTTATGTTGTAGCACACTTGAAGGATTTTTTTTTAATGAGAACACATTTTTGTTGTGTACATAATTAAATTCAAATTTTGCATTTGACCATGTCAGTTAAGGTAAGTTAAGTTTGAAGATCAATGTCATACATGAATTATCCAACATGCTTATGTTGTCATTAATTAGTTGTATTCTTTTCATAGTATGACTCAAAATTGTCCATTTTTACAAAGTTACTGCAATTTGTTAAGCAAATTTCAATAGCTTGACAGAAGAGGTAACAGAATGGCTAGCCAGTTCATTACGTAAGTAATATGTATCACAAGTTCAGATAAATATTTATGTAATGCTAAGAGTGACCGATTAGATCTTAAAAGGACGATTAATCTTATGAAAATCAAACGCACTAGTAAGGTTCCTTGCTTACAATAGAATTGAGGGTACCAGTAACCGGAAGTCGTTCTTTCACATCCGTTGCGCAAGAAAAGTGTACTATTCTCGATTGAGCTAAGGCCAAATCCGGCGACATACACTGTTTTTTCTAGCATCCACAACAAATTTTTATAAAGAAGGAAACTATGGCTTCTACCGACGAGCTTGCTTGCGTTTACGCTGCCCTCATCCTCGCTGATGACCAAGTAACAGTCACGGTAAATAACCTAAAATGATATCCCGGTGTTTTTTTTTAACTTTGTAGAGCACGTTTTTTAATGTATATAAATCGTGATAATATAATATGACATAACATTTGATGAATTCACTTTGTTTAATTACATCTTACTTAAAGAACACACATTGGTTGCTTGTGATAATATAATTTCAGGGCTCTATTGAAACGGGTATCGGTAAGTATGAATTCAAGCACTCAACTGGCTTCAGGTGTAATGTTGATTTGATACTGCCGATACGAAATATCTTTGTACATGACAGTGGATTGAATATTGTGTAGCTAATTGACTGCAATTAACCAATCCTGGTGATATTATAAACAGGTTCCATAGAATATGTAGTTCGCCAATGTAAATTTCTCCATGGCTGTCAAAATCTGATTTTGACTTGCTTGTCTGTTTTTAGGTGAAGGCAAGCAATTTTTAAATTTGTCCGTATGATATTTACATAAGTTTAGTCTTTAAAAATTTTCACTTCAGTCTTGTTCGTATAGGCTGTTGGACAATCTGGGCTATACCGACTACGGATTTTTCTGGCCCTGTGTGACAAGGTCTCTTTAATGTTTAAAATTTGTTTCAGGCTGTCAAAATCACAACATTGTTACTATTTTACCTTAATTGTTTCAGGCTGACAAGATCCAGACCATTTTGAAATCTGCTGGTGTATCAGTGGAGCCATACTGGCCAGGTAAGTTATGAAGGGTTGTACATTTCATCATTTAATGTTACTCTGGCATGATACTTATTTCAAAGTGTGCACATACCTTGAGAACTACTACAGTTTCAAACTGCTAGTACTGGTTTAAATTCTGTGCAAGTGGCAAAAAAGTTGGTGTGAGCTCATGGTAGTACTAAAATGATGAAAGTAGCTTGCAGTTTTCTTGTACTCTGTATAAAGAGCCTTTTAAAGAGTATTTTATCTTTAACTTAATGAATTAACTCAAACTGAGAGAAAGTCTAAGAAATCTCCTTGAAAGCTGTGTTTGTTTGAGTGCTGTATGAACCATGTCAGAATTTCAATTAGACTAGAGTTCTCTTCTTGAGGCAAGAATGCCTTCAGAATGCTGGGCGTTTTGACCAATAAATTTCAGTGCTGATAAAGGAACATTACTTTTGCTGGTGCTATATTGATAAAAAATTATTGTGTCCCTTATTAAAATTTCAAGAACTTGTTTTCTGTCAGTTGTCTACTACTTTATGGCCATCCTCCGCCAATAATGATACATTATACGTTATTCAGTATTTCTTGGATAAAATGAGTATCAGCTTTAAAGCCTACATATCAGATCATACATTTATATTATTTTCAGGTTTGTTTGCCCGTGCACTTGAAGGCGTAAACGTGAAGGAACTGATAACAAACATTGGAAGTGCTGCAGGATCTGCCCCAGCAGCCGGTGGAGCAGCCCCAGCGGCTGGTGGTGCAGCTGAGGAAAAGAAAGGTAAATAAAGTGCTATCAAGTTATTTCCTGTCTTGTTTGATAATTATTTTAGAGTTATCCTTGACAATTAGACCAAATGACTTGCAGAGGCCTAGGAAATAGCTGTGGAGTAGTTGATATTACTGCAGTCATGTTGGGAAAATGAGTCTAGCTAAATTTGGAAGATTCTGCATGTTTTTCAAAATTGGGGAAAAAATATTCAAAAAGTTTTGAATCCTAAACTTAAGGCAAATTATGTCATTTATGACTCATAATTCTAGATGCTGACACTATCAACCATACATAACAAATGTAAAATTTGCTGATATAATAAAAAAAAATTGTAATTAAAGCACCATGGTAATACAAATGTAAACATCCAAGGACTAAATCTGATGTCAGATTCATATTTCAAATTTAATTTTAATTGAGTAATGTGTAATTTTTTTGAGCCTGAAAACACAAAGGGGCAAAGTTAGTAAGCAACTAACGTTTGTGTATATTCAAGAGTTGTTGCATAAAGAAATACATTAAAGTTAATTATTGCATTAAAATCAGGCAATATATTGTTAGGAAATATTAATTTGAATTAATCTTGTTTACAGAAGAGAAGAAGGAAGAAAAGAAAGAAGAGTCCGAGGAATCTGATGATGACATGGGATTCGGTAAGTATTTTATACATGACCCTATATTAATATTCTAATTTCATACTCATAAATTTGGCAGTAAGTTAACTCTTGTCTTTCCTTTCAGCTTTAGTTGAATTTAAGGACATGGCAAGTGTTATAACTGCCTTAGTAATGTTACTTTTGCATAAAATTAAATATCTTAAAAATGTTGGTGGTTCTACCCTGGTGCCAGATCATGCCTGAAATAATGCACAGGGGTACCGGAGGTCTTCCTCCACCAGTAAAGCTGGACAGCTGACATTTTACCTTTACTGTGTTGATGTGACATTAAACGCAACAAAATTTTAAACTAAAATTATACCTTATTATACCTCTATACCATTTATAAAAGTTCTTAATCAACTTTCTGTTTGAAGTTATATATCTTGTCTAACGAAATCTTTCCATTTTTCAAATTCTTCAAAACAGTTAATATTGACTTGTCATTTAATACTAGACCGTATACTATCTGGATAGAGCAGCTTATCATACTTGCTATGTGTTAGATATTCTTAATATAATTTCAACGACTTAGTAGGTTAGTGTTTTGTAAGCATTAATTTCATTAACATTGTCATGTGAATTAATTGTAATTTGAAAGTATTTATAGAATTTTGGTTAACTTATTTGCATAAATTTCTATTTTTCAGGTCTCTTCGACTAAAAGTTACAGAATATTGTTATGAATTGTAACATGTAAGCAAGAAAAAAATTGAAAAAGCCATATAAATTTGTTGTTACTCTTTTGTTTGGATTAAAGTTCATTCATCAACTTGCAAGCTTTGATCCATGATAAAAAACTTCTGAACTGTATCAGAAAGTAGGAAAGGAAGTTCTTTAATCAAAATCAGTTTTGACATACTGCGAATTTATTAAGCAAGTGTTCCCTTCAGAAAGCAAAGTGGTCTTAACTCGTCTATTTATTAGCTCACCTGAACACAAAGATCTCGCAAGTTGAGCTTTTATGATAGCAGTGTTCCTTGAAACATCTGATGTTGACAACTTCACAGCAATAATTTTTGGATGACCATTTATGGTTTCAGTCCTATGCATAAGTAGCCCACAGGAACTAAAAATATACAAACCTGAAATCTTTGAAGTATCTTAAAAACTACAAATGTCCAAAGTTAAGATACTTGACATGTAGCAGTGCCAAGTGGACCTCCACAAAAGTTACCTAAGTAATGACCCTGGGGACAAAATTGGTCCTGCCATGGATCACTTTGTTTATGTGGACTTGTATAGAAAAAATGTCTTAAACAACATCTGCAGAACTGCCTAGAGCTTATGTTTCGCATGAAGTATCACCATGTCCTAGTTGCATCCTGGGTTCATCCTAGGGGTCACTAAATAAGGCTTGTATAGAATATAAATAACATTTCGGTTACAGTAAAAATATCATCCCGAAGAAAATACTGTTACCCCGAGGTGTTAGCTATGTGACCAGATTTTATACTGTTAAAAATACTGTTACCCTGTAACAGTACAAATTTCTTAGTCACAAGGTACACTTGCTTTAACATTCCAGTGGTCTATGGGTATGCTGTAACTGTAAAAGTTTGTTTGTACCTAGGAAAACCACAAATGTTCTTAATTCTGGAAGTCTATATCTGACTGGCAGTGCACAGATGAAATAAAATTTTGACTATTACTTGCAATGTATCCAGGAGCATCAAGGCCCTATTGTTAACGATTTTACCGTTGAACTAACTGAAGAAAACATTTGCAATAAGTAACTGAGCAGTGCGCTCAATATAAGATATCTGTCCTTAGAGTAAAGAAAAATCAATTTTCATATCAAATCCTGAACGATTAGCAGTCTAGGATGGTAAATAACTTATGTCTTGAGCAGGGTGTGGGTAAAATGGCCATTGCTCACGGTCCGACCTGTTCGTAATTCTTATTTATGATACTCGAACCTGTGCTTTGCCATTTTGGGAACGACCATGTTTCGTATCACGATGCCGTTACTAAGAATTGAAAAGAGTTATAATTCAAGTTTTTTTGACAAGTTGTATCAACTTGCACAGGCATAACTTGGGTGGATTAACATGGGAAACAAATCAAAACTGTAAAATGTCTACTAAATTGTAGTCTGGTTCAATTTTTTTCATGCAAAATAACTGATCATTAAAGCGGCCTACAGCTTTTTTGTTGGAAAAACAATTCTGTGTTGCGTATATATAGTCAACTTGAATTGCGGGTAAGTAACTCTTTCAAGCTTAAATGTTAAACTTTATATCAGTTACTTCCCTCATGTACAGGTATAAGAAAAATTACCAAATATGGGTGCCAATATGCACACGTGTACGAGCGTCTTAATATTTTAAATTTCATATGGGGCCTATGTATGGAGGTATATACTATGTATTTATTATTTTCGTGCAGAATTGCATTATATTTCTTTATATTTTACTGTTTAAACTATTGCAAAATAGTTATAGGAGGGCAGTATATCTTAAATCACATGATATAAGCCGTTTTTTTTTAGTAAACATAATTATACAATATATAAATTGTTATTTTGATTAAGACTATAATCTAAGTATGTAAGTTTTTTTCTTATTTGTTAAATTAAGAATTAATCTACCTGTTAATTAAAAAATCTAAAAGTATCTGTCACGGTTTAGAACTGTTCACTATTTAGGGGAGAAAATGTGTAAGCGGCCAGATAGCTACATCGCTACAGCCACGGTACATTATTCTGTGGGTCACAGATTCGAGTTCAGGTCAAGCTGAAAGTTTTTCTCATCCTGTGACTGCATATAACCCTGAGTTTAATTCACTATGCTCTGTAAACATCAGAATTCCAGGACACAAATCAATATAGTGGGGAAATATGTTGTGGTTTAGAACTGTTCATTATTAAAGAGGAAATGTGTAGCCGGCCGGATAGCTCAGTTGATCTTCTGACAGTCATGGGTTCGAGTCATGGGAAAGCAGTTTCAGTCAGGGTTTAGAAGTGGTTTTTCAACTGACACATGTTTTATTCATTTAACAGATTGTATTTAATTTGAAATGGACAAATGCATTATTGTATGCATGATACTTTTAGATCTACAAAAGGCATTTGATACAGTTGATCACACTATACTGCACATGAAGAAGTTCTTCTTCTTCTTCTTCGTGAAACTTCTAGCATCTGCCATAGGTAATGACATTCTTACATGGTTCAAGTCTTATTTCTGATGGACAGGAGCTGGTGGATGTGTCTGGTACTCATTCTACTACTGCCCCGAGTACCTATGGTGTTCCCCTGAAGTTCATTTTAGGTCCTCTTTTATGTCCAATAGATGTGAATGACATGTCTGCAATAAGCTTTTATTATATGCTGATGACTCAGGTATCATGGTATCTGGTAAAATAAATCTGAAGAAATTCTCTCTTATGGCATGACTCTTATAAGTGATTTGTTTATTGACTAAAAATTGTCTTTGCATCTTGGCAAGACAGGGTCTATCCCTCTTGGTTTAAGTTTCAACTTAAACTGGGCCTAGCCTCCAGGTCACATGTAATGGTACTGCTATAAAGTACACATATTTTGTTAAGTATTGAGGTGCAAAACTTGATCAAATTTTTTTGGCGTCTCCTTTGATGCTTTGCATCAATGCTTTTCTTGTGGGTGATTGAACTGGTTTTTCAAGTTGAGTGATGGATGATTGATTTTGTATGAAAGTAATTTTTAGCTGATTTGGTTCTGGAATGCAGTATTTCTTAGTAACACATCATTATATTTGATTTCTTATTACAGAACCTGGTATGTATATATTTATTTTAATTGTAATTGTGAAATGTTGATAATGTTTACGAGTATTGTAATTATTGACATTATTGTAATTATGAAATATGTAATATATAAATTGTCTGTTGTATATTATTTCTCTTTGTTATTAATATAATATTTTCGTTTTGTTATAGGTTTCTTCTAGACCTGAATAAAACATGAAATACATCAGTCACTGTTGTTTCATACACCAAAACCTCACCACTACTTACTTTTATCCTGCATAATAATACATCATACTACAATAAAAAAAACAATAAACAAAAAAAAATATTGATTAAACAAATAAAGTACATGTAAAAGTTTAATGTTTGTAGAAGTTACTATACTATCACATACAGGGCTATCAACTTATACTGGACCTACTTCTAGTACAATATATTAGACATAACGGGCTTGTCATAGTTTGATGATGGTCAAGACCATTTTGGAAGTCTTTTTTTTTCAAATCTAAACAATAATTTTTGTAACAGAATTTGCAGTTTAAGTTAGAATACACTTTAAAAGAGCAGAAGGTTTTTGTGCACCCAAATATAGGGGGTGTTTAGATTTACCCTTGTCCATCCGTCCTTCCGTCCGTCCGTTCTCATGTTGTGTCGCACGTAGTTCAAAAAGTATTTTACCTAGAGTCATGAAACTTAATTACAGGAATGTTAGTTAGCATATGATGTTGTGCACCTGGGTATTTTGTGTGTGGATTCAATCAGTTTTTTGTAGAGTAATTGCCTTTGACTTAATACTTGCAATTTTCAACTTGTGTCGCGCGAAGCTCAAAAAATATTTGACCTAGAGTTATGAAACTTTTTAGGAATGTTGCTCAGCATGTGAAGCTGCATAAGGGGTTTCGCTAGTGGATTTGCTCTGTTTTGTTAGAGTTATTGCCTTTGACTTAGTAAAAATGTGCAATTTTCAACTTGTGTCGCACATAGCTCAAAAAGTATTTGACCTAGGGTCATGAAACTTAAATTTACAGAAATGTTGCTTAGCATGTTAAGTTGTGTACCTTGACTTTTGCTTGTGGATTAACATTTAAAAGTTCTGATAATACAAGTATTATTATGGTATTTATCTTTTCACTTCCCCTGTAAATCATTTATATTATAATTATTACTATCGTTGTTTCTTTCTCTTACTCACCAAGGAACAACCTTGTTTTGTTCAAGCTAATTGAGAAGTAATATATATGCCATATATTTTACATATTAAAAGTTATGAACAAACTTCTCGAGTTTGCACTTTCTACTGTTAATCATGTATTTCGTATATAATATAAAAAAATACAAATGAAAATTTTACCAAAAAACACGTCAGATTACAATTCTTTGTAAAGTCAAATCCTATGTACATAAATAATATGTAATGTAGTTTATAATTGTTTCTTCAAATTGCTTAAAATCCCAAATAAATGCTTAATTCTAGAATATATCCCATTTTACGTACTACTTATATTACTGTATTTATTATTTGCATCACTACATAATTATGTTGTATGAAAATGTATATGACTCATCAGTTTGAAATGGATAAATTTACAATTGAATTTCACCGTAGTTTTTTGGTAACGATCGAGAAATTGCTAATGCCTTAAGCTAGCTCTTTAACTACTATAGATATATACATGGAGCTAAATATACATATCTGTCATATATACATGTATTTCTTCACATGGAAATAGCTAACTAGGTTATTTTCACTCAATGCATCATAGGCCCGGAGGTATGTTGTACGAGCTACAGACATGTCAAGCTGGGACATTTAAGCTGATAAAAACATATTATTCATAATTGTCATTTGGATAAAAAAAACATAATTATTATTAAAATTTGCCATGTATTATTACACAGTTCCAGTGTCATAATTATACAATCAACAGAAAACATAATTGCTATTTTTCGGCCCTTTCCGCCAAACTTCGGAAAAGGACTATTAAAAATTTTGTAATCCAA